AGAGAGAGAGAGAGAGAGAGAGAGAGAGAGAGAGAGAGAGAGAGAGATATCATTATTTGATTAGAATCACCATCTTCCTTTCATAATGCATGGATTATTAGGGAGGAAACTTCTTCACCTGTTGTGAACTCCACCTTCTTGGACACCATCTTGTAGTCAACAATTGAAAATTGGGGAAGCTCAATTTTATTGACCCCAGTTACTGCTCCCTCTCCTCCGTTCCAGTAAAATTCGATGTCATCAGTGGTATAGCCATCTGAAGTGAAGAAGCACAGCCTAGTCATAAAGAGCACAGTTGGTCTAGAGATGCATTCTGAAGACAGTTGTCCAGCCAGAGGAAAGATCCATAGCACATTAGGACAAAAAAAATCATTTTGAACCTAAATAGCATATAGATCTTATATGAAGTGCCATTTCTAATGGGTTAGGAGTGTTTACATTGAGGAAAGAGATGCATCTGGCTTCAGTGAACATAACTCCCAAGTCCTTTACTACTTTGAATTACCACAACAAAATTGTTTTTATTGTATCTACAGATGGATGCTTTTTTGTTAAAGCAAGGGGTGGCTGCATTTCAGGGCTCTGGAAATGGGTTTGGATTATGCTTTTATCTAACAAAACCAGAATCAAATGATAAGCACAGTTATTAAAAGGAGAGCCCTAGGGATAATGAATTGGAATATAGCAAAAGATCAAATCTTAATAAATGATCAAGGCATTGAAAAAATAAACACGTTTAATTTAGAAAAGTAACCAGGCTTAAGTCATTCTATTATAGCTACTGCTATTATAGATAAGATACTGGTAAAATCTTAGGAATTATATACATTCTTGGTTATACTAGTGCTTTATGAATTATTGATCTCTTTGGATTTATAAGGGTGGACTTTGATGTCAGTGGAACCCAGAGAAGACTGAAGACAGTTGAAGCTGTGCCCCTAGCTTTGGCAGGGAAGGTCTTATATCCAGGGCCTGTTCTTTTCCTTCTTGTCTGCCCCCATTTGCCACTGGCTTAGCTCAGTCATGGTGGTGTGTAAGAGTAAATTGTATAACAAGAATAATGCTTGGATACGTTTCAAAATTCTAAAAAATAATTCGGCTCACTTAAAATTCATTTTTAAACCAGTTAGACACATAGCTGATGTTTCCATTTTCTTTTTATACTAACCTCAAATTAAGAAAAGTTACTGACACTGGTTTCAAAGGTAACCTTGTGAACACTTTACAGTTTGCATTATGCTGATCTACTTTTGATGAAAGCAGTGGCATCTTTCCAAGATATTTTTTTTAAAAGTTTAAGATTTGGGAGCTGAAGTTAAGTGTCAAAGAACTGCACCAGTTTACCAGTTCAAGAATGTGATAAGTTTTAGTCTTTCTCTTAGTCCCTTTTGGCATAAGTATGTATGAGAAATAGCTGTTTCAATTTTACATCTTAAAATAATGAAAATTCCTCTTCAAAAAACTTTTTAAAGTTCTGATTCTGAACAATAGCTGCTTCATTTTTCATATCCCTAGTTTATCACAACATATAATAATATACTAAATTCCTCATGAAGCCATTACCCATTAACAAAAACTTTCCCTTTCTTCAAAAGAGTAATATCCATATGAAATAATTCATATACAATTTATTTACTGTTACATGTAAATATTGTTTCTGAGAAGCTATGTGGTCCTCTTTACCTATTGGGTTTAACATCATCTACCTGGGAGAAACTAATATGTTGGGGATTTATGTTAAACTTGAACACAAATGTGTGATTCTAATGCTTGACATTGTTTTGAATACCTAACAGGAATCCATGAACAGCTCTACAGAAGATACATACATAGAAGACTGATGGATAAATGTGTGTGTGTATCTCCATATATTTCCATATATTTCTATCTATCTATCTATCTATCTATCTATCTATCTATCTATCTATCT